ATCTAAACAATATGCATGTTACGGCAAAACCGACAAATTCCGACATAAATCTTTCGAATCGGCTTTAACTTTTCGAAAAGCAAACGCAACTGGATAGTTAAAATGGGATTGGAAATGGAAAATATAAAATGGAGAGTGAGAGCGCAAATAAAAAAAACGAAGAGATAAGCTTCCTTTCTGTCTATTTACTGTTAGCTGTGAAAGCACATTGACAGACACATAAACACACATAAATGATTTTCAATTGTGTATGATTTGTTATAGCTATATTTATTACTGTGTGTTTTCAAATCAATATGTTTTGACGCTCCAAAATGCCTGCAATTATCTTTATGAATATTCACAGTGGGAAAATTCGCATAAAATTCGCAAACTTGAGAAATTTGGTGATTGTAAAATTAAGCGCATTGTTATGCGATAAATAACAGTACATATGTATGTATTAGTTGCGTGTGTGTGTGTGTGTGTGTTATTGCAGCAAATGAAATACATTTGCATAAGAAATGTTGATTGGAAAATATAATTAAACTTTAGCGACTGCCTATAGTAGACAAAAATTCAAAGGAACATGTTAAAAAAAAACGGAAAAAGTAATGCAAAAGATAAGAAGAGCTTAATAGCTGGAGGAAAATTTATGATAATGAAGAAAAAGTTGCGACGCCAATAAATGTAATTTTGTGAGCATGATAAACAATATACGTCAGTGAAAATTAAATGCTTTTAGCGGGTAATAAATTATATGATTTCCGCACCGCAGTTTCTCCGGGGCGTATGAGTGACATTTATTGTTTTACCCTCTACGAACCAGCAAATAGTGCCATCACTGTGATTGCACATACATATATTTAATGTAAAGTTGTTCCATGTCATTATCAAAAATCCCTAAAACACAGCTAACGAAAGTTAGGAAAAGTCATAAAAGATGACAGGTCGAGAAAACAGGTGGAAATAGAGTAGACCGCAGCTAATATTTTTTTAAATTTTCGGACTACCTAACGAGTATGAAAAATGTTGTACATGACTCGAGATATACTTAAAAGTTTATTCGATCTCTTTCTCAACTAACAAATGACAATCTATACGCACTCAGCGCGGCTAACTTCAACCTTTAATTCAGCAAGAAATAGCAATACTACTCTATTCGATTTTATCGCGAAACCCCTCTAGTCAAATACTATTCAATCTCTTTTATATTTCATATTATGCACTCCGTTTCACTTTATAAGTCTAAGCATGCCATCCTTAGTAAGAGAATTTAGTTTTAGATAATTTTGTAAGGGTTTCGAATATTTTAGACTTTCAAAATATTCTCCATAAATTTGAAATTTTACCGGAAAATTGTTTCGGCGGTATTTGTAATAATTTTTTAGCTCAGTGTAGTCGGGTCCTAAAACTTTAAATGCGTTTTATCGAAAAGCTGTTTTCGGAGTCGATGAGGAAAAATTCGCCGCAACGAAATGTAAATTTTTTCACAAAAAACTACTTTTTTTATTATTCATCATCACCTGTCTTCATGTATTGTAACAATATTTTTTTTTTTGCTTTTGTATTTGGAAAAAATCTTCCTCAACGCCTGACAGTATTTCAATACCTTTGATATGAGAATTTTGGATATATTGAAACCTTTAAGCATTTAATGAAATTTTTATACCTGAGAGTTTTGTCATGCATCAATCTATGCTCGAGGATTACTTGTACGAATATTCTTACATAGCAAAGCAGTCTGAGACGAAATTTGTTTAGCAGAAATATATCCGTTAGTCTTCCGAAACTAAAAACAATATGATTGGAAACCAGGTACTGTGTTTACATTTCATAAAATATGTTTTCAATAGAAAATATCTATCAAAACAATTTTTTTCAGTATAGAGTTGTATTGTAATTTTCAGTTAAGATTTTTATCTCCGTAGGCAACGCTTGAAATTAGATGTAAATTCATAGAAAAAAAATGTTTTCTTATTATTTTTTATTTTAAGGAAAATGAATAAGTCTTCTTTTTAGTAAAGGTAAAAATATTGATATAATTAAATCTGGATGCAATAAAGTTACATTTAAATAGAATAAAAATGTGGCCTACCATACATTTAAAGTGTGATTTTAATCGAAACAATAAAACAAATTTTAGATTTTTGACGTTCTACTTTTCTTATTTATGATTGGAAACACTTTCTTTATTAGACATTTAGCTTGTAAAGTATTCTGCACCATTCCCCATTATAAATAGAGGTCTAACACAGAAAGGAAAGAGAATATAGACATATCTGGTTAAATAGTACTTTTACTTAACTTAATAAAAGGTAAACTAATTGACCAAATTTAAAGGTATGAATATTGTGGCAAGTCTTGTCAAAGGAAGCGGAATTCGTCGACTAACAAAAGGCTGATCAAAATTATATAAAAGAAAAATATACAAATATATTCTAATATTTTCATTGCATTGAAGAGTTTATTATAATAGTATTTGATGTGTACTATAGCAAGAGTAACGCGTGACCGAATCTTCTTGTATACTTATATATATATTTTTTCGTATGTAAAGTTCATACCGAATCATACACACATATGTATATGTATGTATGTACATCTGTTAATGAGTTTATTGAATCATTGAATTTTATGAACTCACCGAAAGCAAAAGCAAAGAAGATTACATATATAATAATAAAAGCTTCGCTTAGCTAAATTATTTTGCTAAAACTATTTAATTGTGAATAAACATGCATTCACACATACAGACACACATAATGAATGCAGTAGGCATATTCGGCAGCGCAAATTGATGAAGTGTTGTAAAAAGTGTAAGTTACTACTTTTTTTCTTGCTTTTTTCTCTCGAAGCATTTATTATACGTAATTGGTGAGTTGGGCCAGCGGAGTGCAGATGAGTTTAAATGCGGCATTTTGCTTTGTGACGGCATGCAGCTACAACAAGAATATGTATACGTATGACAACAACAATGACAGTGGTGGAAACAAACGTTGCCATGCGGCGTGTGCAGTCATGCAACAAGTGGCAACATATGGCGGGTTGGCTGGCTGGCTGCCGCAAAGGCTACTGCACGAACAAATGTGGCAATAACAAAGCAGTGGCAATGGCAATAAGCCGGTTAATAAGCAGATTTGAAGGCCAACCGTTGTATATAACTTTACTATTCGAATATGAGTATAAATGTATATATTATATATAAATGGTATGTATGTATGTAGCTAAGTACGTCCATATGGCAAATTAAAACGATAAACCAAATTAAATGTTGTAGTTGTTGGAATGCTGTCGTGATTTTCTTTCATTTTACTTTTCTATTACTTTTGCTTTAATTCGAGCTTAAAGCGCTCAAGGGATTTCATTTATAAATAGTGTTAGGTACTAAATTTATTCAACAGCAAATATTGTTGTGAAAATTCAATAATAAAGCAATATTTTTTCAATTAAATTTCTATAAGGTTTTTGTAAGTTCAGTTTTAAACAATTAACCTTTTCTTGACAAATTTTTTGCATTTGACAAACAAAATAAATCTTAGTATGAGATATATAATTTTTCTATATATACTTTTCAATTATTTATTTTATAAAATATATAAATAATTTTCTTATTATAAATTATATTTTTTAACTACGTGTATATTTTTCCTGCAGACTAATAAATTTTATAATTTATTATTATAAGATTTATTTAATGTTTTTTTATATTATTTTGTAGTAATGTTATGATTTTGTTCGATGCAATTTTTTATTTGATAAAAATAAAATGAATATATATATAAATTCAATATTTTATTCGATTATTACAGCATTTAAACTCCTATTCGCGCACTGAGGAAATTGTTAATATTGTGTCAAAATGTAAAAAATGCTTGACATAACTAAATGGTTCGAAATGTAAAATAAATTAATATTGAAGATAAAAATATTAAATATTTTAGATAAAGTGTGTAATTTATAACTAATTACACGTTTATTTTTCGAATTTTTTCATTTTCAATATTACATATTTTTGTAACTCAAAATTATTAGTAATTGTGACATTTACAATAAAAAACATGTATATATACATATTACCACTTATAAAACCATAAACAATTTTGTTTTATTTTAATGACATATTTGTTCTCTTGATAAGGATTGCTTGCGCAATAAAAATATATTAAATATTATTTATGATGGCCTATAACACATTAAAAAAAAAAAAAATTAAATTAAATAAAAAAAAGAAACGGAACGATTAGGAGTTTAAGCATGTCATTTTAAATAATATTTTGAACATATTCACTAAGTTTCAGCTTAATGTAAATTATTGTATCCTTGCGTGTATGTATATTTAGACCGGATTATTAAATTGTTGAGTCCACTTAAAATAATAATTATTTTATAATTTATTTTTTTGACAAAAAATATTTTATTTAATACTTTTTTTGCTTTTTGCCATAAATATTAAATTTTGTATGTTTTCACATGTTCTACTCCATGAATATTTAAATATTTTCATTTATTATTTTTTTGTCAACTTAGCTGTTTTTACAAAATTTACTCTAAATTTCATGTTGAAATAAAATAATATTTAATTTCACTTGTTTTACAAATTTCAAAATAAAACAAAGAAAAAAGTATCTAGTCTAGTTACTTGTTTTTTAAAATAAATACATATTTGTATTATTATAACATTTCTAATTTAAAAATCTATTTTTTTCATATTTCAAATAAATTTTGTAAGTTTTTATGAAAACTTTTTAAATTTATATTTAATATATTAAGTAAAGTGTTATTAATTAAATATTATTTTTTATTAAAAATTCATTAAAATTTAGTAAGCGTAATTTTTTGCAAACATTATAAACACACAAATTGAGTATAAATATTTATCGATTTTAAGCATAAATAATTTTATTTTCAACTTGTTTAATTTCGCTGTCTTTTATATTAAAATCCTTTTCTGCTTTAATCATTCTTTAAATAAAAAATATATCAAAAAATAACAAATAAAAAAATAAAATTCTCCATACGCTTTCGTGAAAGTGCACTGCCGGCACTGTATATCACTTAACAAATATAAAAATATTTTAGAAAACGAAAAAAAAAATTATTTTCTTTGCAACTCTGCATAGAAACACGCAAATAGGATGCGTACGGAAACGCACAAAAACAAAACAAACGAACACAAGCACACTTTCTGCGAAGCCGAACGCGTAAACACTTGCAATTATCTTCTTCTTTGCAAAAAAAAAAAATCAAACTTAGCGTCCTTAAATATATACGTAGACGTATATTAATTTATATGGCAGGACATCAAAGCGTCCACTCGTCCCTTGGATGGCACTTGTGTGTGGCTGTATATAAGTGTTAAATAAAATAAGGAGGCGTATGGTGCAATAAAGCAACGCGCGCGTCACGCGGTTTAACGCGACACCAGAGCGCCGCTCGATACGAACGCGTGGAAAACTCAGTGGAAACTGAACGATAATCCAATGAAATTGTAATAATTATGGAGCGCGCTGCGCCACAAGTGTGCAAATTGCACAGCGCTGCCAACGAGTGAGTGGCAACACCGAGTTGACAGATTGGCGGCGGAGAAAACCGCAAAGAGGCAAGCGGCAAGGCTAAAAGTATGCTGGTAAAAAGTGCGATATACAAGAAATATGCAATGCATACATATGAAGAAACACAACAACAACTGCTGCTGAGCAGTCAATGCATTTTTGAGTAAGTTGCCGCAAAAGCAATAACCAAAACAACAGCAACAACACACAACTGGGTGTAAGCCAAACCAAAAAAGTGGGCGACATTAATAACAACAAAATATAGCGAATCTAATGTGAACTGCACATGCACATGCACAACAACAGTGTCTGCAAAGTCGGCGCGTTTGCATTTGCAGCAACAATTGCACCGAACCAATAGCAGCTGATTGCCGACTGCAAAGCGGCAACAGCAACAACATGTGTTGCAGAATCGATAAGAGTGCTCAGCTGCGGCTGATGAGCTTGTGTGTGAGAAGGCGCGCGAGAGCAAAAGAGCGCGCAGGTGGAAAAGTGAGAAAAACTCGAGGAAAATACCGGAGTGCAGAGCGTATAACTTTTTTGTTGCAAAAAAATGTTGTCATATTTAATCGACAGCGCAGTGGCAATAAATGAAAAGCAATAAAAATAAATAAAAATACAAAAAAAATAAATAAAAATTAACAACTAAACAACAACTAAGCGTAATGCGTACAAGTAAATTAACCACAACAAACATGTAGCCACAGGTGCAGCGCCTGCGTTCGATGCGGCCGCCTTCCCGTTGTCGTAAATGCAAAAACAAAAGCAACAATAAATAAATACAACAACGTAACAATGCAGCTTGAGGCCCTGTTGAAAAGCAGCTGTCAGTTAAAGCAATATAAATAATGCGTGCAAAAGAAATGTGCGACAAAGTAAAATGTACAACAAATACACGCATGTGTAATTAAATCAATAAAAATCAAATAATTGTGCAACTAACTGAGAGCAAAAGAAAAAGATTGGCTCTGGGCCATAGCATATGGCAATTAAAAGTTATTATCAATTTTACTACGGTAATAGGCATGGGCACGCACCTATTATGGCCAATAAATTTACTCACGGCAATTAATATAAACAATTTAGTTAAGCTTTATTAAAAATGTGTACCAGCAGGTCCTATAACTGTGAAAATCGGTCTAACGTGGCATCAAAGCAGCCTTATTCTTTTAAATTAGTGTACAATGGATCCGGCATCCTTGTAGCCATGTTGCATTCTACTACAAGTAAGTAACACAGCTTCCAGGCTCTTTCGGTATTTTTTAGTTTTGGAAGTAAATCATTTCCTCAATAATTTGTCAGACTGGGTTTACATACGAAATCTTTTGTTGCTCATTATCAGGAAATTCTCTTTTGGTGTCGCTCAGTGCGTTTATACGAGCTGCACGAGTCCAGCAACACGCAACAAATTTTCTCTTGTGTTTACTATTTGTTTGATCCTCCGACACGAACAGACGAAGGATTCTGCTGCATCGATGGCTTTTTAAACCCACCACGCCGTTGAAAGTTCGCTTCAAATCTCGAATTCAGAGATGAGCACTTACTTCTATTTACGAGAACATTTTAAAAATAAAATCACTTATACTTATTCTACTACCGTCGCATCAAAAGATAAAAATTACTGTAAACTTATAAAATCGCAATAATAAAGATAGTGAAGTAAGAAATAAATCAACATTCGAGCGTGTGTGGGCTGATATGTGGTATAGCAGCAACAACAACTTAAGCCGAGACTCAGTCAAACGACAAAACGAATGCGTATTGCTGCGCTTTGTCAGCTAATGACACCAACTCGGCACCGGCAAAATGCAAACGCAGCAACTTTATAAAAACTTCGGCTTCGTATGCAAACGCGTGTGGCTATGGCTCGTGTTTTGACCACCACCACTGCCAAGGAAGTGCTGCGTCAAATTAATGAATCACTGTCAACATTGCTCCGATAGTTGTAATCATTGCTTTTGCTTTTTCTACAGCGCATTTATGTGAGTTTCATGTATGGGCACTTTTTTATTTATTGCGGATCTCCATAACTTTAAAGTAGTAGAATTCCATTCAGTGGATTGCGGATTTGGAAAATGAGTTCTGAAGAATCTAAAATTATAAATAAATTCAATAGCCCTTCGAAGAGCGCTTTAAAACAAGCTACGCTATTTTACAGAATAAAATGAAATGATAACAAAAAAAAACGCACTTAAGGGAACCTGGTCTGAAGTTTTAACCAAGCTGCGATTTTCAAATATCAGGAAATCAAATAGAGCAGTGGTCAATTTGGATCTATTTGCAATACATTCTGAGAGTGGAGTGGCTTATTTCCGCGCCCAGGTTCTTCTATAGTGACCAAAAATCACAAATTCAGAGTTTCTGACAATAGATCTGCTATTCATTTTCAAACTATCGACACAGAAGTCGGCTTGGCCTATATATGTATATCATATGACGATATCGACAAAGCAATTATACAATATATGAAGCTTACCTCTGTAGATATACAATATTTATCAGAAATACATGCTTCGAGCAACAGGATCTTACTGGACCCGACCACATCTCACTGTCAGTAATGAAAATTTTGAAATCGAATCTGGGATGGCCTTCAGGGCTTTCAGCAAAAATAATGTTAAGATCCTCTGCTGTTCCTCATAAAATAAAGGTTTTAGCTATCTAGAAAAAAAAATTATCATTTCGTTTTGCACGCGTTGTTTATATGGACCAGTCCCGGTCAAATTTTACAAAAAAAAAATTCATTACCTTACTTCGACTATATTTAGAGAACTTTGCAAAGAATTAATAAATTACTATTCCGAATTGCAACACTGTGACTCTAATGCTTCTAAAGTGGACAGTTTTTGCTTGAACAAAAATTGAACTAGTGTGAGTAATAAACTCACATGAAGTGCCCTTTTGTAATTGCATTACTGTTATATAACTAATATATTTTTGACACTTAAATTTATTTATTTATTTCATACCAATTTTTCCAAAAAATCGAGCACATTTAAGTGATCTACAAATATTTCTTATACTCAGTACCTGAACCTAAGGGAAATGTAGCAATATTGACATTTTAATGCGCTTTTAAGACATAAGGTGATGCAATAACAAATTAGACACGCGTGTTACATATCGAATAAGTACACTTGGCGCTTAAATTCCGTGCCTATGAGTGGAAAAACGCGCATCTATTACTTCCTCCATTGCGACTTGGCACTTCCTTTACACACATATACACACAGAGCGACACACTCGTAGCCACACGTGAGCGCGCTTACTGTTTCAAGACACACTTGAAAAAGACATTTTCTATAATTGCAAACGACTTGAAATATGGATAAACAAAGCAAAGAGTGACTTTAGGCACTTTTCGGACACTTTGAATACTTAAGACTTAAGTCCAGGCACTCAACGGTCGCCGTGCTCAACTGACCTCAAATATACTCGTTGAAAATTGTTCGCTGGCAGTGTTGCGCTTCGTGTGTTGCTTATTTCGTATGCGATCGGAATCGGTAAAAATAACAAATCCACTTCATTAACATTTACATAATAGTTTTTTGTTAGTTTAACATGCTGTTTTATCGCTATTGGCAGCAGCAGCGGCTGTTAAAAGTTGCATATTCGATGTGAATTTGAAATTGAATTTGCGTTCGCGTTTGAGTTGGAAGTTGTTTAAATGCAAATGTAAGCGCCGAAACGTTTGACTTCGACTTGACAGCTACAGTTGAACCGATTGCTGCATTACAATTGCTCTATTCAACGATGTCACTGCTGATAGTGTTGTTGTTACGCCTGCTGTTGGCAGTTTTTGCTGTTGTTGGTGTCATTGAGTGCATTTATCTTAAGAATTGCAGCAACAAGCCTCATTGTGACAGACTTACACACCAGCAGTCAGATACCGGCCACGACGACGACGGCGGAGACGATGATGGCGATGGCGTTGGCGATGACGACGAAGACGACGACTCTGTCGGCTGTTAAGCGACAGACGAGCGCAGATAATAATGTTTTAAGTGTGCCTGGCATTTAAGCCGGCCGGCTGGCTCGCTGGCTGGCTGCTTGACCAGCCAGGTTTAGGCAGTGTTGGAGTGTCTAATTTTTATTCGATGCTTTGTTTACTCGGTCTCTAGCGTATGCGTCGAACAAAAGTGAAATTGTTGGCAATAAATTTTTGGGCAACATAAAACAAATAAATGCAACAATATAATTTGTCCAATGCTATGCTAACGGCAAAGGTTACCAAATTGCAATGCACACACACACATCCACGCTTTCTTGTCGGCATTTCTATCTACATATGTATACACATACTCATGTATGTATGTACGTAAGTGTAGGTTTAAGTGTCGATATACCCACGCTGAACCCCAAACGTAATGTAATGGTCACGGTAATCTGTGCCGGAGCATGGTGGCGGCCGTACGGTATTTTCTTCACACAGTGTTTGAAAATGGGCGTTTTGTTGGAAAATCAATTAGTCAATAACTGAATCAATAAACAATCGACTTTTTCTCGTCTCAATCGAAACTCCGTTACTTGACTATGTCTCGAAATTGACAAGGTAGAAACAGAATGTGAAATAATTCGAATTCAGCCACAAATTTTGAATAATCTAGTTCCTGAAACCCAAGAATCTTTATTGGCAAACCTTTGTAATAGATTAATATGGAAAGCAGAAAAAAGTGGGACGGTGTAAGTGTGGTGGATATGGATTTTTTCAAATATTCGTATAAAAGTGAATGAAAATTAAATCAATTAAAATAAATTATGTCGGTTTGAACGGCTTGTATGATTGAGATTTTGGTCCAAGCGAGAGAGGGAGAGAGAAACAATGGAACTCATTACCTCTAACAGTTCATTATAGCTGGGGATAAATTTATTTCTATATTCTATATTCGCTGTATCTGCGACTTGGACCCGTGGTATAGCTTTTAGACGTATTCGATTAAGGAATAATCTCCTTGATTTCTTACTAGAACAACGCAAGGGTTAAATTTAGAATATGTAAATTGGTTCTTTCTAGGCTTAAAGTTGTATATTCAAAAAAGTTGTACCTACAAGTATTACATATACTTAAAATTTAATCTAGGCCGGATATTACAAAAGGCGCAAAAGAAGCACTAGCTACATTGTCAACAACATAAATCTACTGTATCAAGTCTTCTTTTTCTAAGGTTCAAATAAACTGCAAAGTTGGATTATTCTAAAATTTGGAGTCAAAAGAAATTGGTCCCAGTAAATTAGAGCGTAGGAGAACAAAATTATCATTTATCCCAAATAATTATTACATTACTTTGGTGGAAAACTTCGTTTAGCAACAAGGCGCTTGATCATCGGTATTGTAATCTCTGTCTTTCTACACAGATCTCTCTCTCTCTCTCTCTATAACTAAAGCGTAGCTATTGCCGCTGAAGTATGTTAAGTCGAAATTCCGACTAAGTAGAAGGTGACAGGTTATCGTGGTAGCCGAATAAACAAAAAAACAATTCTCGAGAATGTTGAAAATGTTCTACTTCTGTCGTTGCGATTTCCGTAAAAAAAACTTGAGTTGATAATACTGCATGATCATCTTTTCATACGAAGAATACTATACAAAGTCGAAAAAATCGAAGTTCTCTGAACTCAAAACATTATGACACATCAAACCAATTGGAAACTGCACCACTGTCCAACAACAAGTCATAAAAGTTCGGATAAGGGAAGTGGTGGGCGGCCGTAGGTGTATTCCCATTGGATTGGAATGAATTGTGGCGCTGTGGTGCAGTGGTTTGGTCGTATTTCTTCCACAAATGAAAACGAATTTTCCTTTCGGCCACATTTGCATGTTGATTTATTAATTTATTTGCGACTTTATTGTGCACCGCCGTCATGGCACGCCGCATTGTCTGGCCAGTCGTCCAGTCAAGTAAGTACCTACTGTCCGCTGAAGTCCGGCAGTGAAGACAGACGCCGGTGACTGAGTATGCGAATCTAATCAGATGCCGGTCAAATGAAAAGACGGACAAACCGACAATGTAGATACTAAACAAACAAAGAGTGAAGTCGCCGCTAAATGCGCGACTACGTCAGGCGGGAGTTACGAGAGAAGAGTTGAAAAGTAAACAACAACAAAAAGTGCGCATAACAAATAAGGTGAAACAAAAAAGTGAAAAAAGCTAATGATGATGGTAGGAAGAATTGGTATGAAAAAAACCAACCGGCTGATGCAGGCAGGCAACAAAACCTTACTAACAATTCTGTCCGTCCGTCCACTCGTGTAGTTAACCGTCTACTTGTACATAGCTGTCGCGTCCAGTTCATTCAGCAACTTTTAAAATACAAAGTGGGTAGGCTGCGACGGTGGCTATAAGGATGGCGTTGGTGGCACACGGCAACTCGACTGCTTTGGGAGTCCGCTGCTGCGGCTGCCGGCCTGTGAGTTTTTCAGATTGTCTTTCCGCCGACTTACAAATGAATGAAATGTTTACTTTGCAATGTTTGTGGCGATAACGAAAGGTGGGTATTTTCGACTATTTTTTATCGCGTCTTTACGAAGTTTTTCATTGATTTTTTTCTTCGCGTTTAAGCTTGCGCATATCAATTGCGAATGTTTGGCTTTGCAGAGCGCCTGTGAACTCGCCATATATGGCGAACGGCGCGGCAACGAGTCGAGTTTAAATGGCAGCAGCAGAAAAAAAATAAAACAAGTAAAACGGTTAAAAAATCAGTTACAGCCAGCTCAAGCAGCGGCGCATACATAATGCATTGCCGCCTCCTTCAGTGGCTTACGACGCAGCCCAAAAACACTTGGACAGTTGCAGTTAAGTATCTACAAGTCAGGAAAATGCGCCACAGTCGTAGATCAAAACACCAGCACCATGACTTAAGAGCGTGGAAATGTGTTGTATGGAGGAAATAATGCAACAAATACAGCCATAAATAATGCAGCTGGCAGAAAACGCCGAAAATAAAAAATTAAAACGCTAAATATAAAGTTAAAAAAAAGTCTTGTAGCACAATGGCGAACGTGAAAAATGCGTCACTCAACGAATTCCCAGCGCAATTATTGCCAGCAATCACAAGACGGAATTGCCAGCAATTGCAGCAACGCACTGATTACATCGCGCATTGCGCACCGCTTATGTGCGCGCGAAGCCAGCTAGTATCGACCGCTTGGGATTCACTTTTATTCGTCGGTCGATTGGCGCGCAAGATCGCGATCGCTGCGCAATAAAGTTGAATTCGACGGCAGGCAGCCGAGCTCATTTGCATTAAGCGCAAATTTGTGAAGTTTAAATAAATACGGACTGGCGCGGTATGAAAGCGCGCAATCACACACGTACACGTTTAGTTTCAGGTTCATCTTGCGTGTTGCTGCTGCGCCGATCGCGATCACTGCCATCAAGCCAATCCGCAGCGCGTTGCGGCAGTTCCGTGCGCTGTGCGATCGAATCGGAGTAATTGCAAATTTTGAATGATTGCGCGGCGGCGCTTGTGCTATCGAAACAACTACAATGAAGACAGCATCAAATCATCTCGAAAACGTCAGTTCACGCATAAGATTGTAGTTTGATAGTTGCAGACTTTTTTGTATGCCAACATGCTATACTCCCGCGCGATGTGGCGGCTGTCCGCTTGTCTAGCCTGTCTGTCGCATTTAAACTGTGATCTCGTCATCATGATCCTGACTTTTCGCTGTTCAGCAGCCAATGACAACACAAAAACGACGCTCAACAGCAGCAGCAGCAGCAACACAAGTCGCGCTTACTTGAATAAACAAGATCACACATGTGTCGTGTGCGGCGTCGGCGGTTGCGACGGCGGCAACGTTGATGGCAAATATGTATTTTGTGAGTTTATCGTCGCTTGTTATTTGCAACGATCATCGTTTATTGCTGCGGTATTTGTGCGAAAATTGTTTTGTCTGCGACTTGATAATGAAAGTGAAAGTACTAGCGCGGCTTACATGTAAGTGTCGGGCCTCCGTACTCGCATGTGGGTATATTAAGTAAGCAAGTGCACACGTAAGTACCGCTGCTGCATAAGTAAGTATTTTTTTTTGTTGGTGCGTTAAAATAATCGTAAAAGTTTAGCTAAAGCGTAGGCTATGCTGAATTGCTCACCCGCCTGTGCCTCCCGTCATAACTGCACATGCATACAATGGCCAGTCAGGCTATTTACAATAACAAAAATGTTAACTTATTATAAATCAAATAATAGCTTAATTGTCTTCAATTTAATCCCCTCTTTGTTATCCAGTTCATTCATAGAGTGTCACCGAATTTGTGGTTTCGAAATCTCAGAGTTGTAATTTGACAGCTGTGAAACGAATGAATAGCATAAGAAAAGTGGTGGTGAAATGCGTTGAACTCTTTAAAAATTTCATGATTCTGAGGTTATGAGTGCTCTCAGTATAACCTTAGCAACCTTATTAGGGTTCCGCTTTGCTAGTAATAGAATGGCTTGTGAAAATTTTGTGCAGTCTTATTAGACTAGAGTTTGCGTAAGGTCTCACCATAAACTTTTTGGCATTTCCTCTGAAATTACCGTTACTCATCTTGCGTGTTGTCAAAAC